GCAGGGCAGCCACAGAAAAACACAGCCAGTTCTGAACCGCAAGACCTTTGATGAAGGTATCTCAGCTTCCAGAAAGAGGGAAGTCTTTCACACTAAAAGTTGTGTCCTAAAAAAGCCAGTGACCTTAAAATAATAACTGTAATTTTTTTAAGTACTAGTTAGTTTTTCTCACACATGGAAATCACGCAGACTGAGAAAGGTTTTATCATGCAGCAACAGGCATTAAGGAACCAAAAGATAATCAAGTCTGTCCTGTCCTTTATGGGGCACCCCATATCACCCCTGCAAACACTGCAGGCCGAAAGACTCTGATTTTCCTTGCAGGAGATGCACACACACCAGAAGAAGAATAGGTGCAACTAATTTTGCCGATGGTTTGCTAAGCTTGCCCTGCCTACCCACTCCCCTAGATTCCACAAAAGCCACGTGTTATAAAGCCGCTGAACATAAAACTGTAACAAACTGCTGTTTCATGGCAAGATTTAATGATGCAAACAAACAAAAAAAATCATAGAATAATTTTTCCAAGAGAAAATGAGCATTTGTGCCAGTGTTAACTCATATCATGGAACAGCCACTGCTCAGTTGCAATTTTTGGCCCCAGCAGTCGGTTAAACCAGCAGTAAGGTCTCTCTGCCTTACAGAGATGGTGTTTGCCAACAAGGAGTTATACTGCTATAACTAAGCCACTAGAGTTGAAGGGATCTGTATCCAAATGAAGACACAGTTAATTACACCAGGTACCTTATGCTGGAAAAGCTACTCCTAAACAGCAAGGAGAAAAAGCTGCCCTTGTTTAAGGAAGCTTTACATTGCCACAGCAATACTTACACTAGTGTTTTGCTGGCACAGGGTTTTCTTTAAATAATCCTATGCAAAAGCAGTACTGATCCAAAGCACTGTGCCTTCAACGAAGAGTCCCTCAGGGCAAGGCCTGCACTTAGAAGAGTGAGGCCATCCAAAGGCTTATGTTACATTATACGTTATGTATATATGCCTATTATAGTCCATGACAAAGGATGACTACCAAGGCATCTATGCAGCATGTTTCTGCCCAGCTAAAACATCACTATAAAATGACAGTAAGGTACTGTAACCATACCTGTGCTGTCTTCACAATAGAAAGTGCAGTTTGGACTCCAGACTTACTTTTTTGCATAGTGTTAAGAAAAAAAAAATTAACCTGCAGATGATGTGAATGTTGAAAAGCTTTTTAAACAGTAGTTTACTGTGTTCTTAAGTAAGATTTTTTATTAAACTAAACCCCCAGCACACAAATTTAAAAAATCATCATTATTCTCCAAACAGCACAAGCTGCCCATGGTCAAAACCATGGTAGTTTAAACCAGTACTTTAACCCAGAGTGGTCAAAACTGTCCAACCCTGCTTCAAAGGGGAGTCCCTGCCATTGCCCCTCAGCGTCCTCCTGCAAAAACCAGCTCCTCCCGTTTCAGGAAGACCAACGCTCGCAAACAAAAATGTCCCAGGTCCCCTGAAATGCATCCCACCAACCCATCAACCATAAAAACTACCCAGCTTCCCACGAATGCTGCCCCTCTGGTGGAACTAACACATGCTGCATGTCCACTCATTACTCTTCATTAGGAAAAAAAAAAATATGCCCTACATCCCATGAATACTGCCCTTCCTGAAGAGGACACCCCTTCCCCATGTGTTGAGTTGCTTTGTAGAGGGAAACCCCCACTCCCCCTTAAATGAAGGGAGAGCATCTTGCACCTCATAACAAGGGATGAATTTGCACGTGCGAGTAAAGTCCCTTGCCAAGGGGGTGCCCCTATATCCCAGCTGGATGGTCTCCTCCCAGAGAGGGCAGGCTCCCAGTCCAGCAATGCAGGCCCTCCTGAAACTGTGCACCCCTACAACAAGATGTGTCCCATGGTCCCTGCAACTGCCCTCTCCCCCAAGCAGACACAAAAATCATGCTGCTTCCCAGAAAGTAACTGAGGAGCACCAGCCCCACACAAATACTGACAGAAGTACTGTCACAAATACTGCCTTCTCATCACAGCCACTTGCTGGGCAAGCAAATTTATCTCCATGTACTCTCTCAGCCTCACAACTGCCTGTACTAATGCTGGAGCAGCACTTTCCTTCTATCAGCTACAGGCAAGCCTAGCCAAGAGAAAAGGGACTGCACCTTCCCAAATCCTTCCAGTGAGCCACGGGCTGAATACAAGCAGTACAGTTCAACCTGCAAGGTCCCAATATTCCTGTGTGGCTGAGTCAGGCTAAGCCCAATTCTCTCCCCTCATCTCTAGACAGACTAAATCTAGCGTGCTCATCTGCTGCTGACAGATGTGACCATGCCTGCTGAACTTGGCATGAGGTCCTGCCTCAGAGCTAGTCACTCTGTAAGACCCACTTACCTGCACTTCTTCCAAAGGGATGCTTTGATTAGGACTGCCAGGCACCCAGCCCACAGGGCCTCTTGCCACAGCTGGCAGAACCACCAATTAACACCGCTACCCCTAGAGGTAGGTGCCTTCTCACCCTGCCTTTTCCTGCCACCAAACCTTCTGTTTTCAAAGGAACCTCCTTTCCAGCGTGACATTGGAAATAGTCAAAATCACAGCATTTAAGATGTGAACCATGACACACAGCCAACACATTATTTCAAAGTGCCAAAGGCAGCAAATTGCTTTTCCGATCCAGTGGCAAGAGTTCCAGCTCCTGCTGTTTTGGCAACTGTTTGTTTATAGGAAATGTCACTTTCCAACCACGCCTTTCACTCAGGTTCCATAAAAATGCTCTAATTCTCTTATGTTTCATGCATTGGTGATCTTGTATTTAACTGGTTAACCATTCTTGGTTTCTGCAGCATGCCTCCCTAAGATGGAAGGGACATGCATATGAATTTTAATAGGTTAATTCTTCTGGACAAGACTTTTCAATGGAATGATAGCATGTGATGGATTGTGCACTGCTATTACCAGCCTTCTGACTTTCCTCATTCCCTGAAGCTGGTACAATGGCCATATCCTGCACAAAACAGAACATGTACAGAGTCAGACCCCATCAGCACCGGGAACAGCAGACCTTCAAGGAAAACCTAGCTCTGCAAAAAATGGTACTCGTGACTTGATGTGGCCTATTTGCTTTTTGGGACAGGAACAGCCTGTTCTGTATTCACACAGCGCCTAGCACAGTGCTATCCTGGATCATGTCCGGAGAGCTGAGGCACTATGACAGTGCTAACAAACCTGCTCCGCTCTGAGCCAAGTGCTGGCACCCAGCCCACACATGGCAGGGAAGCACCGTGCTGAAGGTGTTCTCTGTCCAGACTCTACTACTCCCACTTTTTTTTTTGCCTACCACGGACAATTTTGTGATCAGAACCTTCAACCCTACTATACTAGCCAAATTCCTACATGGATAATTACATTCCACCGTCTTAACACTTCTCCAGCAACTGAATACTAAAAGATCCCCCCTCCCTGGTCCACCATGTGCCACACACAGGCCGCCTGCCCCTTGCCATTTGTGGTGCTCAAGCCAGCCCTGACTTATCTAAAAGCCCCTAGCACTCTTTACATAAACAGGAGGCAGCATGCCCCAGCAGGCATGGAAGTGAACTGAGAGACATTCCCCATTCCCGGCTTGACCAAATGTTGTGTGGATCTTCAGCAAACCATTTAACTGCTGTATCTCAGCTTCTCTATCTACAACGCAGATAACAGGACTCCAGGAGCAAAGTACTGCCATCTCACTATTGCACTGGCCACTGCTATACACTGTTGAATAGCTCCAGCACTCCTCTCCATAAGCAATAACACCAATATTATTTAAACTGGTAAGTATCTGTTCACCAAAAAGAATCTGGGGGAGGGCAGGAAGACAGTAGCACCAGAGAATGGGAAGTTAAACCAGCTATCACTATGTTCACAAGTGAAGTCTCTTCAGTGTTGGAAGGGTACGGCTACACTAGATGTTCTCGTTGAAAAAGCTCCAGTTAGTCAGCTGACAATTAACTCCATGTAACAAGCATCCTGTTTGCAAAGGCTGAAATGCATCCTCCCCAGTTAAAAAGGGAGCGCCTTACCTTTGGCTAGTCTCTAAGCAGAAAAAAGCAGTTTTTACACAGTAGTAACAATCCTGTGTCAGCTCAAGATAAAAATACATGAAGACAAGATATTTGCGTACACTGTATTCTTATCTGAGAAGAGCTGATGCAGGTTTGCTGCCCCAAGGTTAAAAAAAAAAAAAATCAGCCTTTTTTCAGCAACAGTGACAGGACTTTAGTCTAAGCAAATAAACATAGCAAAGACAAACCCAAAGTGAAAACAGAATGACACACCATAGACTGAGAACAGCAACAAGAGTCATTTACACCATGTAGCACTTGAACACCTTAAAAGAATAAAACAAAGACATGAACAGCCAATTTTCCACACTGAAAAATAATATTGTGCTGTAAAAAAAATAAAAAATTCCAGAAGTCAACTTTATTCTAGCATGTACTTGGAAAAAAAGCAGCAATATTGTCACAGTGAAGTTACATACAGAAATTCATAGCTAACCTGTTTGAAAATGCAGCTTGTTTGTGGATCAGTTCCCATACACCCAGCAGCCAAGTTCCCTGCAATAAAAAAGGAGATAATATGTTAGCTGAAACTTAAAGTTTTAGTTACGTTGGCAAATAAGTAGTTAAGAGATTAAATACTACACTGTTCTTTGAAAATATAGGCTGGTCTACACGCTTCCCCTAGAGCTATGCAACAACAGAACCAGAATTCAGCACGCAACCACACACACAGCTACTCTATTTTTGAATGTGAGCACAGGTGAAGACGACTTCAGGAGGAAGCTGTCAAGGCAGTTTTCTTCAGTCTTGCTGCTGACTACCACTGTGGCCCCTCGTTTCATCAAAACTCACCAGCCACAGTCAGGCTCTTTCAGCCCCTGAACAGAAAACTTCAGGGAAGTTTTAGGAATCAGCATTCTTTCCACTGAACTAGTGTCTGTGCCTGGCATTGCAGAGCCATGTAGATGCAAACGCCAGATTTGGAATCAGACAGAATAAAAGGTCTCATCTCCCTGCGGTGACAAAGTCCAACAGAAGTGGGCGGAAGCAAGCAGCAGACCCCTGGCTAATTCTCAATTTAGCTAAAGTCATGCTGCCTACCTAAAATTCTCAGGAGGGCTCAACTGAATTCAGTTTTCTACCTCCTGTTGTTAACTATAGCAAAGTGTTATTGCAGACCATCACAAAGCCAGACTTCAACAGAGTGGCGTCGTAGCAGTGACAAGTGGAAGGTAAAATACACAATCGTCATCAAGTGGCTTGTGATCCTTCAGGTGAGGGAAGGGTTTGAGCTTTTTAGACCTTGTCAACACATGATCCGTATGGAGCTGAACAGCTAGTTAAACCAGTGCAATCCTTTTGCATAGAAAAGACCTTATTCCATAGTTTCCATGAAAACATTCCTAGTAGCTGAGTGTACCGGTTCTAAAGGTCACTCTGACACGTAAAGTAACAGAGGATGGGTGCTTAGCTGAAATCAAAATCAAGTCATATTCTGCAGCACAAAGCTTTCCCTGTCCTTTCGCACTCCAACTACTGCTAAGGGGGTCAAGCTTACAGCCCTCGGGCCAGATCTGATGCGCGGAGATACGCATGCGGCACATGGATCACTGCATCAACCCCATGCACCAGCCCTGGCCCTGCCACGTAGCGCAGGGAGTTAGTCCGGGGCACGCACTGTGCAAGGCACTCCCCTGGACTCACCCAGCGTGCTGGCTCGGGGGTCAATCTGGATCGGGCCGTACCAGAGCCAGCGCACAGCGCAGCAGGCACTGGTCAGTCCCCTATGCTGCATGCAGCACGTGCAGCTGGTCCAGCCCCATGTGCTGCTGTATGCAACATGTGGGCCCAGCACCTTCCGCCACCTGCGGCGCTGGATCCAGCCCATGCACCGCATGCATGGCGAGTCCCGGAGTCAGCATATGCTGCACAGACTGGACCAGGCCCTGCAGGCACTTCGCAGAGGATCAATCCCATTCCACACTGTAGATGACCCTCACGTGGCTCATGGGCCAGATGCTGTTGCACCCTTGCCACAGCCGATTCCCTGAGCCACCCGGTCTCTAAAGTGCTCCCCTGCCTTACCTTTTACTCTGTGAACCTCTCCTGTGTGGACACCTAGCAAAATGCAAGGGGGCTTGAAAACACACTCCTCACCATGCAGCACCTGATGTCTCTGCACGCAACCACGCACGGAGCTGAAGCAGGGTGCCTGGTGCCCGAAAGCTCAGCCAACAGCTCTTGCAACCGTACAGCCAGTCCCATGAACGACATCACGAGAAAACCCCCGCGTCTCTCACCAAGCTTCTGAACCGCATCCGCAGGGAGAGGGCAGAACAGGCAGAAGGACAAACCTCAGAGGATGACAGACGGACGGGACGGTGAGGACAGCGGGCTAAGGAAGGTGGTAGAGGAAGAGGGTGCAGGAGTGAAAGGAGATGCTGTAAAACAAAGTCTGGGGGCGCGTACCTTTCAATCAGCGATTCTCGGCCGGGGCCGGGGCCGGGGCCGGGGCCGGGGCCCGGGAGCCGCTCAGGGGTGGCGCAGCGTCAGCTCGGCTGGGGGCAGACACGATTCACACGTGAACCTGGGATCGGGCGAGGGGCCGGGCCCCGCCCCGCCCCGCCCCAGCACCCGGACCACACCCACAGCAACACGCTCACACTCACGCAGTCGCACGCACATGTGCACGCACACACTGACACAGACACACATACGCATACCCACACGCAGTTCCACACACTCATGCTTGCACAATGCACGTGCACACACGCACACTGACACTCAGACACGCATGTTCACACTTACACGGAGGCACACACATACTGACACGCTCACACCCAAGCGCAGGCACACGCACTTCTGCTTGCACAACACACGCACACTGACACTCAGACACACACTCACACCCACACGCAGGCACGCAGTGACACACACACAATCCCACCCACGCGCTTGCACAACACGCACATGCAGACAGGCAGACTGACATTCCCACACACGCAGTGACACACACACAATCACACCCACGCGCTCGCACAACACAGACGCGCGCGCGCACACACGCATGCACTAGCTCGCGCACATGCCTGGGCGCGTGCACTCACACCCACACGCGGTCTCACGCACTGACTGGCACTCGCACTCACACTCGCCCCGTCACACACACTCACCCCCTGGAACAACAAGGAACAATGGCCATAAGCTACTAGAGAGAAGGTTTAGGCTGGACATTACGAAAAAG